TCTCCCTCCTTCCTTCCCCCGGCACCCGCTGCTCGCTCCGTCTCTCTCTGCGCCACCGAACGCCACCGGTTGCGTGGCGTCGCGCAGGGCTGAATTATGAGCGACGCTGTTTGCTGGACGTTTCTTCGTTTGGGTTGTTGGAGTTCGGGAAACAGGTGTAACATCAAGCTTGCCGTTTCCCACCGCATTCACATCAAACACATCAGTAATCAGGCGTAGGCCTCTTACGTTGGAAACAATAATTTATTAACATTTACCTGAATATTAAAAAATGGCCCAAATATGAACTGGTTAATAAGTTATTTTCAATTCGTGAGTGTCTTTTGAACGAAATTGACAACATGTTTTGAATAATAACATTGATCTTAAACATTTTTAATTACGATTGTTTTTTACTGTTAATTCTGATTACAAATGTGATATTAACAGGCGGCAATCGTTTCGGTTAATATTCATTCTGATTACATATGTCGACATGGGGGATATTTTTATTACGATTGAAATTCTTTAAAATACAAATAGGTTGCTTCTAAATATTTACGCAGGCGATCTCTGGGCATAGGCAGGCACTATCTGAAACAAGGGGTGACAACTACATTCCTGAACCTCCTTTCATATTTAACGTTTTTTATTTCCCATGAGACTGCGGCTTTTGTGAACCCGTTTCCGATTTTCAGTCACTGCTTGGCGATTATTGCCTATTAGTTATGCGACATCGAAAACAAGACATCAGTGTTCAAAATTAAAACATCGATGTTACTAATACATCAACCAAAATAATACATCGATCAAGATATTTGATTAATCTCTTGTAACCTCCTCACTAACTTTGTCAGCAACAAAATTGAATTTCACAATTTCTCAGTGCATATTAATTTATAATTAAGATTTAATTGAAAACAAAGTTTAAAACGTCTATTCATATGCAAAAACGAAAAACGAAGGAAACGCCGGGACATCGGGATCATCTCGGGCGAGGGATAGTAGAAGTAGAACAAACCGCGTTTTTTTGGTTCGAACACAAACAGATAGCGGTACCATCAGTTATTTTATGATTGAACTTTTTCCAAATTGTGATTATTGGAATATTTCATCCACAAACAAAACGTCGAGCATAAAACATTGCTGTTTAAAACATATTTAATAGTCGCGCCCTTCCTGTATATTCTACAGGAGCATCAAATACACTCGGCTGCGACCGCTCACGAAAAAGCGCCGCCCCTTCACACACACACACACATCCGCCCGTGTGGGGCTGCGAGGCGCTGGGGACGGCGAGGGCAGCTGGACGACCTATTAAGTCCTTCAGAGACTGGGATTAAAGCTAAGACACGAAAATTGAAACCACTTGTAGACACAACAATCTCAGTAGAAATTGTCCCTGGCCACTGAAATCAAAGTAAGAAAGGGTGGTAAAAGGGATTCGGCAGCTGAAATAAGGAAGCTCTGTTAACAGGGGAACTCCACCTAAGAAAACCCGTAGATTCATTCATCAAGTCTCCATTGTTATTAGTTGTCAGGCACGTGCTTTGATGGTGGATCCCATCTTTCAATCCAGTAAGTAAGTATACATACGCCAACAAGTGACGTTAAGGAAGTGATATTATGTCATTATATTTTGCCAATCGAACAGTTCTCTAAAGAAGCCAGAAAGGGTGTCCAGAAATACCATAACTGACTCTACAGAGATTCACTCGAGAAACGTAAAGAGCAGACGCAAATACGAATTTGCTCCATAGATCGCTATGGAGCAAAACGTACAACTAGGTTCCAGAAAGTAAAACCTGCTTTTTGGTTTTATTAGAATCAACCAGCGGCAAGAGAAACAGCATATTGAGAAGAATCATGACCGAAAAAATACATGCATACTGATTCATATTAAATCTGTGTGCAATTTTTTGTCCATTTCTTTCACTTTATTTCTTTTCATTTTTTGATATCCTCCTTTTTATTTTTCTGTACTATCATTTTATTTATCTTGCTGTATATATTTTGTAAAATTGAAAGATTATGTCCAATTGTGTTAAACAAATGAAACAAGTATACTGTCAGTCGCGCTAGTGCATGTATTCAAATTTCTTAAATATTTCGAAAAAATGAAGTTTTTTAGGCAGATTTGTATATTGTACATTATTTACATTACTTTAATTTATTTACGTATATTGACATACATTCATTCCATACAGAGTTATTACTTTTTCCTCCTAGAGCGTCAAAACGACCTTCTCCTTCTTCTTCTTCTTCTTCTTGCTTCTTTTCTTCTTTCTTCTTCTTCTTCTTCTTTCGTTCTTCTTCTTCTTCTCTTCTTCTTCTTCCTCTAGTCTTTCAAGTATTTAGGCATAATGCCTGTTTACGCCGCTTAATTTTGTCCTCCAGCACATTCTTGAACAGTCCTACATCCTTTTTCCTCCGGCGTGACAATTTGCCATTTGTCTTAGGAATTCTGTCGTTGATCATTGCAACATGTGATCTTGCCAATTGAGAGTCTGTAGTTGGTGACTTTCTCATAAGGACTTTCAACATTTAGCTCGTTTCGGATTTGTGTGTTTCTTTGTCTGTCCAAAAGGCTATATCACGCTACCGCTCTAAGGAATCTCATTTCCTCTGCCTGCAGTCTTGATAAATCTTTTTTGTCCACACTTCGTTGTCCATACTTCACTCCCGTATAAGCTGGTTGGTATTGACATAACTTTGTAAATTTCAATGAGAGTGTCTCTTCTCACTTTTGAACTGAGTGTTCTTCTTATAGTTCCACAAATGATTATAGAAGACCTTTTAGTCTAAAATACGCGCACAGTTTAGTAAATCGATGAAAGACCATTTCCAATAATTATGTATTATAAAATATACATTTTCTTCTTACATCAAAGAAAATATTGTATTTGGAAATTACATTCAAAAGAATAAAATGTGTGAGGACATTCCTCCCTTCTCTTTCCAGAGAAACCGCTACTGCTTGTAAGCCCATTAAATGGCAGCAGGTAGGACTAAGGGACAATGCCGAAAAGATAAACAGACTGAAGAGTAAGGAAATTTACTAATACGAGAAGGTCTGTACCATTCTTTAGCACCACTAGTTTGTTTATTTTCGATTTGTAAATGCGTGAAATCGAAGTCTGGCGCCCAAATGCACGTTGACTTCCCACAAGTCCGTGAATGAACCGACTCCACGACCTGACGACCCGGAATCATCCCTTCATCCTCAGGGGATGTCATTCAACTGTGGGTGCCTGCGTTATGTGAAAGTCGTGTAAGGCAGATGACAGTAGGATAACGCATATTTTTATTTTGTGCCTTAAGGCCAAACTTATCTAATTGAGCATCATGATTCGTTTAGAGATGACCTGATTGGCCTGATTTTTTTGTAAGTATTCTCTTACACGTATTATCGGTTGAAAAATATGACAGTTATACCCCTTGTATTGATGTCATTACCTTTGATGATACATCTTTATAGGGTAAGTGAACGATGCGTAGTGTAGTATACCAAAGCTCAAACTTGCCATAACCTAAATATGTTTTTTTCCCTTCCAGATAAGGGGTCGTCATTTCCAATGAGATCGTCTGTGAGTGTTATTCTGTCCAGCCCTGCCCCTGACACCAGCATGTCCCACCCAGATTATGAACAAACTGGTCATGACCATGCATCTCTCCTGATACTTGTGAAACATATTGGTTAGCTCAGTTTCTATTTGTTCTTTTTCTAATCAGTGTCTTGTTCTACAGAACTTCTAATGCAGTTGATCTGCAATTCTATAATAATCTTGTTTCATATTTGCTAATTTAGGAAGCCAGCTCAAACCAAAACATTTTGTTCGTATGTTTGAACGAATTTCACGTGTATGTCAAGAACGAGTGGAAGATTCTTCAGGAGTAGCACATGCTGTCACAGCACGTTACATAAAAGAATATCCTGTTGAAAACAATGATTGGGGTGATTTTCAAACACATCGCAGATTGCTGGGTTTAATTACTGTGGGTAAGTAATCAGCAATATCTGTATATTATTCTCTAATCTGAAAAGAGTCTTATAAGTTTGGTTTTCACATCTTAGCTTACAAAAGTCAAAAGGAAAAGAAAGTAATTATATCAAGCAGAAAATTCCGAAGGTAGTACAAGCTCTTAATTGTAGTTCAAGAATGATTCTAATATATCTTTAATTGGGTAAATGAATTGAATAATGCCCTCAAAATTCGGTTCCAAAATTTGGTTTATTTTTATTTTTTAATGAGTATTATTTTTCTGTATACTTCATTCATAGTTAAAGAACAAAACAACAAATGACAAAGTCTGTGACAATTAATATAAATTCAGATTTTAATATCCTTGAACACTATTGACCAATAAAGTGGTAAATTATAAAGTCCATTAAACTGGCATTAATATTTAATGGTTGAAGAACGTTGTATAAAAGGAAAATAATTGAAAGTAATTAATTTTATTTTTATGTAGGGAAGTACGATAGCCAACAAGAACTAAATGAGCTGTGTCGACTTCATGAGTCTCTAAAAGTGAAGTATTCTTCAACTATCTTTGATTCTCGATGTGTACTCTTGGGTTACCCTGATCCACCCCCATATACACCACCCTCGAATTTCAAAGCTGCAGAAGCTCTATGGTATGAGGATCCAGAATCATGTCCTGGGATGGAAGCACAGCTATGTTCATTTATCCATGCAGTGTTTTGGGTATTGGAATCAAAGAGATTGGAACGGGGTCGTGAGAAAATTGACCGAGTGACTTTACTGCAAGCACCTTTCGAAAAGAAGGATTTTGTTGGATTAGACTTGGAGTCTCGTACAAACCGGAAAAGGTAAGTTATAATACATATTTGCAGAACCGACCTCATATTGTTAGTTATCATTAAAGCTTAAGTTTTCCTAAATGCTTTTTGGACTTATACTAATTGTTACTTCCAATTCCATTAATAAACCAGCATTTGAGCATGAATTCTACAATGTCTAACATAAACTTGATCACCACTTGAAATAATTTGTATGTTAATAGCTTTTTTTTGTGTGCATTATGGCAGATGTGTGGGTCGAATGACAAAGCATTTAGGTGACTTATCACTGCAGTCTGGACTCTATGCAGAAGCTCTTAATTACTACACTTCAGCTTGTGAAGTTTTACGATCGGTGAATGATTGGTTATGGCTTGGAGGCGCTCTGGAAGGTTTATGTGCCACATCTGTTGTTGTACTTTTTCCTAATTTGGGTCGAGGAGCTACTCTACAACGTAATGCCTCTCTGCCAGAAGGAAGCCCAGGCAAACAAAGGTTGGTAATACTTCATCTTTCTTATTGTTAGTCTTAGGTGGGGAAGATCCTCATGAGTAAATGTAAACATATCGACTGAGAAATTTCACTTTAAAAGTGACTTTAAGGATTGTGCAGCCATAATATTTCTGGTTTTGGCTATTATGACCTTAATAGTGTAATCGATTACGTTTTCTTGAATGGAAAACCTTTTTTCATGAGAAAATTTTCGGTGGGAAATTTGGAGCTGTTTTTTAGAAATATTCATTGAGGTTTTGAAAAGTTAAAAGTGCATAGATTCCTCATGCAAATGTTAGGCTGCATAGCCACTGATAAATAGAGGTTTCGAAGGAGGTGGAGCAAAATAGAAAATAATGCCCTTGTACATTGTCCAGCTATCTCTTTTCTTTCACCATCTTCTTCTTGGTAAATTGCTCTCCTCACCATCTCAGAAAAAATGCATCCTTTATACATTAATTTCCTTAGGTTTTGGTTGTTCACTGGGAGATCGTTTCATTGGGTCACAATTTTATTAATGATGAAATGCATTCATAGTCCAGTTTTCATTCTTTCGTTCATCAACTTAGCTGAATGTTCTTGTAGTGTGGGATCTATAGCTGTTTTAAGTAGTGTGTCCAAGCATGAAACATCGTATATCTTAGTATTTTATAGGTTTCTTTTATGTTATTTCTCTTTTGCAGGGTTAACAATGCCAATTCTCAAACAAGTACGTATATACTGAGTAATATTCGTACTACAGAGAAAGTTATATAATGAAGTTATGTAATGCTGCGGAAAATCAATTGTGAGATTTCAGCTAAAATACACGTTTTGGGGCCTCCTGATACTGGAAAAGTGTTGTTGATGTTGTTGTTGTTGTTCTTTTTTTTTTTCTCCCTACGCGTCAATCTGTGTGTCACTGTTTTCCCAACTGTCCATCTGAACAACACTAGCACCTAAATTACGCGTAGGATTTTTTCCAAACTGTATACTCTCTGGTTGATATGACCCTATTTGGAGCTCTGAGATTTTTTAATAACATTCTTTAATTTTTGAGGTACTTACCATGAAGCTGCTGGGACATTTTCAAATTTTCTCCAGTGGGTTCAAATTTTTTCTTTAACATTTTTGTAGAAGATAGCAAAATACTTATAATGATGGCATAGGTCCAATTTTCACTGGACTCAGAATTTTAGAAAATTTCTTTCTTTTTTTAAATTTTTATATTATTATTATTATTATTATTATTATTATTATTATTATTGTTATTATTATTATTATTATTATTATTATTATTATTATTTAATTTCAGTGTCTTCCTACAACTAGAAAATTAAAAATAGAGTATTTTCCTTATAATGAAATTTGTTTTTCATAAATATAGCAGTTTTCACGCAACATTGTATGAAATATGCACAATATTAAAAAATAACAAAAACAAGAATTTCTCAAAAGCATCTCCAAATTTTTTCTTTAAACATTTGGTAGGGATAGTACTAAATGTACGGTATAAGATGACACAAAAACACCATTTTACTGTTGTTTTTTCTCCCAAAATAACACAAATGTAATTGTTTTGATATCTCTCTCACATCATTAATATTGATGTTACCAGCTATTGTACACATTATTGCATTAGAGTATGTGTGCTTCAAATGATGTCTAATGAAGTTTCTCCAAAAATCTTAAGTTTTCTGTGGAACTGAACAAAAAATTCTGCTTTTTCAGGAAAGCTGAAATGCCGTTTTCTGGAAAACAGCTCCAACTTTTTTCTTTATATTTTTTGAATGGATAGTGCTAAAAGGAATAAACAATGTGACTTCAAAGCAACCATGTGCTTGCACATGATTCATAGACCTCATGTGTAATGCGATAGAAAACTAACAAACATTCTTACTTTATTGTCTCATCACGTTGTTGGGGTAGGCTGGAGAGTCGTTCCCCCTCCCCTCAAGGATCCATCATTGACACTACAGTACTACACTATTCACTTGAGCACTCTGTTCTCATAAACATTGTATATAGGGTGAACATATTTTATATGAGAAAGAAACTAGTGTACAATTACTTTCTTTCATTCTCTCCAAATCCATGATAAGACTGATTGATGACGGTCTGCGCTCGTAAAATGCTTATATAGAGGAATTTTAAACTATATTAATTTTTTTTACATATTTTGGACAAAATAGGTACATGTATATATGTATATATTTCACAATTTTATTACAATAAATTCTGTTCCTTAATAATTAGATTTATTATTATTATCACAATTGTGTGTTTTTGCACACATTTTTGAGAAATGAAAAAATTGCGTTTCTTTTAAACTCTAGCATGCTTAGCAATTGGATTGGAGAAAAATGTTTTATATAAAAGTTGTAGGAAATTTTATCATCTAAAATTGATTTTAACCATTTTCTTCATGACTTAAGGTTAAAGAGCTATAGAGAAAAAAGCGAAACAAGTCAGAAAAATTACCGGTTTTTCGAACCTCTCAGCTTTAGCACTAGGTCTGGGAGTATGAAAACATGGGGATTTAACTATTGCCTGTATATAGTGAATTACCACTAACATGTTGTGCAGTCAGAATCCATTTTTTGTGTGTCTTTGAATCTGAAAAATTGATTGACGGCAAAATCTCTGTCTGTCCATCTGTAGTCAGCAAAAGCATCTAAGCTGTTCAGGCAATTATCTCTGAAATTGATCCCTATTGATCTGACTTCTAGGCTATGGCTGTTTCAAAAGAATATTTTGATTTTTGAAGGTACTGTACATGAAGCTTGGACATCATTTTTAAAATAAAAATAAAATACAAGCATAGCACAATCTTTTTTTTATTAAATTTTGACCTCAGATATCCTAAAGGACACTTACGAGATTGGTGCAGATCTGAATTTCATTGAAATCCCAGACTTTTCCAAAATTGCAAAAAGTCAAAATTTTTGCAACGTCTTCCTTCTTCTTCTTTGACGGTTTCTACCCCTTAGAGTTTGCCGTTTTCGATTTCCATAATTCTCGGTCCTCCCAATGACCCTCTTCCAATACTAGTGAATAGCCTAGCTATTGATGGGATGACACGAATTCCTTTGTAATTTTCACAACTAGTTCTGTCACCTTTCTTGTGTATGGAACTGATGTAGGACATATTCCATTCCTGCGGGATATCACCGCTAACTTCCATTCTGTTAAAAAGATTTTGGAGGTATTCAACTATACTAGAGCCTCCGTATTTTAAAAGTTCCATTCTCGAGTATTAAAGACCACCTACAGATCCAGCCTATACTAATCACTTCATACCCTTTGAAACTAAAAGAGCAACACAGCACTTATTTTCTGCATTATTAGAAATAGATACATAATACTGAAATATTGTAATTTCTGCCACACTAAAAAAACAGCTATAACTAACGAAAGTAAATTCAAGCGATATCAACAAAGCATTTGTGGTGCATACATGACTTTATTTTGATAGTCAGAGATCAGTAGTCTTTCTAATATAAAGAAAAAGATGTGTTAGTTCCAAATTTATTACCTTCCTTAAATCTATTCCTTCATAAGAATATTATCTACTTCATACATCACATGACCACCAACAATGGAAGAATCCGAAAATTTTGAAACCCTGCACTTTGATTTTTGTGAACTCTCAATGTGAATTCATGTTAAACATAAAACGATCGAAATTCAAATTTACAATTCCAATTTATTTTTGCAAGTTTTGAAAATACAGAGTGCACGGAAAAAGGGACTATCAGTACTATCTTTATAGTTCTTTGCTATGTACGAGGAAACAAATTTAAAGAAATCATTTGGAGTCGTTTTTGAGAAAATAATTGTTTAAAATTAAAAGTTGTTATGTTTGATACAGAAGTTATGCATATATTTCAGAAACTTCAAGTAAACTTATTTTAAAGAACTGTTTAATTGAAACACACTTAAAAAAACATTTTAAAATATCTTATAATTGTAGTTGTAGGAAGGGTCCTAAAGCCACGATCAGGCCCTGGTGGGGTATACTGAGGCTCATAGGTATACACATTAAATACGCAGGAAAAGCCCTCCTTAATAGGGAAACTTTTGTAGAAAGGCTGTCATCAAGTCCCTTCCCAACTCCTGTGGTGGCTCTGGTAGTTCTGCGTGGTGAGAATCTCGTACAAGTAACGAAAGGAGGTGGACGAAAGGGATTTGGGCCGGGCGAAGAAAGAGAGAAGACGGTAAGGGAAGGAATCCCTGACAGAAAACCAAGGGGAGGAGGGGGGACCTTCGTAGGTGTAGTGGAACCAACCGCTTCCTAAGGGATGACAACCTGAAAAAAAAAAAACATCTACCTCCAGGATTAAACATGGGGTTGGACGCAGGGAACATCCCGGCTCCATAAAAAAACTTCTAGTCAAAGCGATTTAAATATGCCGTCAGACCAACCGAAAATAAACTTACGCAACAAGCTATGAAAATGGCACATGAAAATGAACATGGAATATACAAGGCCTAACAAAAGAAGCAAGAGGAGGTCATCTCAGAAATTGAAAAAATGACCCTGGACATAATTATACTTACGGAAACGAAGAAAAAAGGGACAGGGAAGAAAAATTTTGAATAAATATCTTCATATTTGGAGTGGTGTACCCAAGATTTTACAGCTAGAAGTGGAGTCTCTTCCTATTAAATGTAAATGGACAAATTCATTAAACAGATAGAGAATATTTAATGAAAGGATACTAAGAATACAACTGAATGTTTTCATCATACAGATAACAATTTAGGGGGTCTATGCGTAAGTGATAATGCACTTGTAGATGAAAAGAATAAGTTCTTTCAAGACCTCAGCGAAATTATAGGCGCGATTCTCGTATCAAAATGAAATAATATTAATTGGGGTTTTAATAGCAGTAGGTAATAGAGAACATGATAGTAGGTCAATATGGAAGGAAAGTATTAAGACAATGGAAAAAGATTATTCAACCTATGTAAAGAACATGCACTAAGTGTAGGGATACGTTGTTCAGACATAAAAACATCCA